GCAAGTCGGCGCTGTCGGCGATTGTGCGCGTGATGATGCCGACATGGTCGAGTGTCCAGCAATAGGGCACGATCCCGCTGGTCGGGACCCGGCCGATCGTCGGTTTCAGCCCGACAAGGCCGTTCAGCGCAGCGGGTGCACGCACGGACCCGCCTGTATCCGTGCCAAGTGCCGCCGGAACCAGACCGAAGGCGACCGCTGCCGCCGAACCGCTTGAGGAGCCACCGGCCAATCGCGTGGTGTCATAAGCATTGACGCACGTTCCGTAGACCTCGTTTTCTCCGGTCGCGCCGTAGGCGAATTCATGAAGGTTGGTTTTCCCCATGCTCAACGCGCCAGCGCCGCGCAGGCGGGTAATCACGAAGGCGTCTTCCCGGGCGATCCTGTCGTGGAAGACCCGCGATCCCGCGGTCGTTTTCACACCGGCAATGTCGATGAGATCCTTGCTGGCATAGGGAACGCCGGCGAGCGGTGTCCGCGACAGGTCGCTTTTTGACAGTGTTGCAGCCTCTTCCGCTGCCTCGGCCGCAGTCACGGTGATGAAGGCGCGGGAAACGGCATTGTGCCGGTCGATGCGTTCCGCGAAAAAGGCGACGAGTTCCGGTACTGATATCTTGCCGGATGTCAGCAGGGTTCTCAGGGAGCGGATATCTTCGAAGGCGGGATAGGCTGTCATCTATCGTTTCTGTACACCGAGCGCCGGAGGCGTTGTACCGAGATCCGTCTTGCGAAGAAGCTCCAGTTCTTCAAGCAGGTCCTGAAAGCCGGTAATGATCCCCATTTTCGGGTCGACCAACTCGTTCAGTTCCGCATCGGACCAGTCATGGCTGGCCATCTGTTCGCAGATGCCTTGCAAGGTCTGTTTCTGAAGCGGTTTCATCGTGGGTCTCCTGAAAAGCCGGTTGAGGGCTGCACGTCAGAATTTGCCGCGGCCGGGCCGTTCAACGGATCATGAGGGTTTCTGGTGTTGTGTTGGTGAGAATTTCGGCACCGCTCTCAGTCAGAAGAACAGTGTTGGAAATGAAGTAATCGACAACGTCCGTGTTGGTGAACCAGCTATGCGCGTGAAACACCATGCCGGTCTCCAGCGTGCGTTCGGAGTTGGGAAAGAGCGACGTCACCATGGACCCTCCTGTCCAGCTTGGTGGAAATCCGATGCCGACCATGTATCCGCAATGATGACGCTCATAGTCATGAAGACCGGCCGATACGGCAACCTCTCGCCAAGCATCATAGGCATCTCCGGCCTTGCCGCCCGGCGTCAAAGCGGCGCAGATCGCCTTCATTCCGGCGATTGCCAGTTCGGCGGATTTCTCCGCACCTTCCGGCGCGCTGCCGACATAGGCCAGCCGTCCCATCGGTGCCTGGTACTTGCGGAAGGCGGCGCATGTTTCCAGGAAGACGGCGTCTCCGTTCTGAAAGACCTCACCGCGCCAGGTGGTATGCTCTTCGCCGAGCCGTGTCGTGGGTCTGATAAAGGGGCCGAAGCCGGGATATTCGCTGCCTTCGCGGATCATCCGGTCGTGATAGGCCGCGGCAATCTCGTAGTCGCTGGCCCCGTTGCGCACCGCCTCAATGGCCGCCAGGGTTCCGAGGTCCGCGGCGCGGGCCGCTTTTCTTGTGTATTTGACCTCCAGTGCGGACTTAACCTGCCGCAGATCATCGGCAATGCCCGATGCGTCCACCCAATACGCATCGCCTTGCTGGATCAGTTCCGCATGGCGCGGCGTCAGAAACAGGCTTCGTTTTTCAATGCCGACACGACCGCCCTTCAGCCCGAGATCCGCGACCGCTTTGAGGACGGCATCTGAAAGTTCTTCGTCATCCCGATGTCCGTAAAAGGCCGCGTTTTCGACCTGGTTGTCGACGGTGATCTTTTCCATGGCCCGGCAGCAAAGCGCCATTTCGCCGTTACGGTTGAGGACAAGGACGTGCGCGGCGAAGAACCCCCAGTGGTCCAGTCCGGTCAGCCAGTAGATGCTTTCCGGAACCGATATGAGAAGACCATCGAGACTGTTTTCAGCAAGTGCGGCGCAGGTGCGTTGCAGGCGTTGCCAAAGCTCGCTTGCCGGAAACGGTCTGCTGTTGTCCATGTCTTCTCGGGTCCGTGTCATTCGATCGAAGGGATGGGCTGCGCCTTGGCTTCAGTGTTTGCTCAGGAGGATCGTGCGCGGATATTCCGTGATGTAGTCGCAGCCCGTGTCTGTAACGACAACGGAATCGCCGATGCGGCCGGCAGTGACACCGTCGATTGAGATCCCACCGTCGACGGCAAAGGTCATTCCGGGCCTGAGGACCGTCTTGTCGCCTTCTTTCAGTTCGGGCGCCTCGAGGTAGGCGACACCGATCGATCTGCCGGTCCGGTAGCCTGTCTGGTACCCGCGCGCGCGATAGACATCGTTGGCGGTCATGGCGACCTCTTCGGCCAGAACGCCCGGACGTATGGCTGCAATTGCTGCCTGTTGCGCCGCAATGGCGGCCTCCTGCACGTCACGCGCCTGGTCGGTGACATCGCCAATGTGAAACATCCGGTCGAAGCCGAGCTTGTATTGCTTGAACTGGGCCATGTTGCAGAAGCAGAAATAGACCGGATCATATCTTTGATAAGCCCTGACGCCGGCGCGTCTGTGGACCATGGAGGTGTCTGCGCCGCTCTGCAGGATCTGCAGATTGTGGATCATCGGTGACACGAAACGGTCCCAGCCCTTGTCAGTCAAAAAGCCGGCAGCCTTTTTCGACCCGGCCTCGATCACGGCGAGGGCGGACTCATACTCCTGTGCGCCTTCGCTCAGGGACTCGTGCGCCGCCAGCATCATTGCGCCTGCGATCTCTCCGGCTTCCTTCATGACACCGATCTCGAAATCCGTCTTGATCATGCGCATGTCTGCCAGAACCCGGGAAATGTCCTTGAGCGGCACATCGGCGAAGCTGTCATCGAGGAAGTTGCGGACAAGTGCGGGAACGGAAGTCCGCTCGATCCAGATTTCGTTCGGGATGCTTCCGATCACCTCGGAAAGCACGCGTCCCCAACTGCGCTGTCCGGCATCTTCCCAGACCCTGATATCCGCGACCCAGGTCATCGCGGCCACCATTTCGCTTTCCATCAGGGGCGTGATGACTGTTGGCGCGCTGTCCGCGCGGACGACCAACAGGGTGGGGCGGCCGAATTCGATGCCCAGATAGCCCCAGAAACCGGCGAGATAGGCAATCGAGCTTTCGTCGGTGAACACCGCGAGTTCGATCTCTTCATCGCGCATGCGTTGCTGCAGTTCCGCGGTCTTGTGCTTTGCATGTTCCAGCATTCGGATTTCCTCTCTCCGGCGGCTTTCAGGAACCTCTGCGGGTGCAAGAATTCTTATAGGAGATCTCTTTATGGTATACCTTTATGCGTCTAAAGATAGAGGTGCAAGGCTTAAAACCTGAGACGTGACACGGAAAATCAAGAAAAATGAACTAAATAACTGTGGCGAAGGCATTGTTGATGATTGAGTTTAAAAAAATAGGTATTCCTTTCTTGTGCGAACTCGCGCTATTGCCGACAGGAGCTGATGTGCGGCCGGGAGGATTGGCGTTTGACGCCGGTGAAACCCGCGGCGATGGCGTGCGCTTGCGGGTGGTTTTGCCGAGTTCAGGTGAGTTATCCGCTGTCAACTCGTCAAATTGAAGCCCGAACATGGCCTAATGGGAACCCGATGACCAAAGACGACATTTTTGAAATCCTGCGTATGCGGATCTGTCTCCTGGACTATGCGCCTGAAGCGCGCCTGAACGAACGGGATCTGGCAGCTGAATTCGGCATCAGCAGGACGCCCATGCGGGCGGTGCTGCAGCGGCTAGAACGGGATGGTCTCATCGAAAGCAGACACGGGCAGGGGACATCTGTCACCAGCATCGATCTGAAGCGAATGCAGGACGTTTACCTTGTGCGCATGCGATTGACGGACGCACTGGCTGACTCCGAACAGCTTCCGATCTCGAGTGATCTGGAGAAGGAACTCGCCGATCTGATCACTGCCTGCGAGGCGGTCTGTGAAAGCCGAGACAAGCGCGAATTCGCGCGGATCAACATCCGGCTGAATACGATCATGCACGGACTGGTAAAGAACGACGTGCTGCGCGAGATCAACGAGAAGCTGTTCTTCGAGTCGGCAAGGTTCTGGTTTCTGCTTCTGGACGCACTGGATTTCGAAGAACAGGTGACGGCGCTGAGCGATGAAATCTCGATGCTCCGCCGTGCGATTGCGTTGCGGGACATAAGGCTTGCAGCCGAAATTCACAAATCCCATCTGGCCCTGGTGCAATCGTCCATAAGACAGCAGAGCGCGTATTCCGGCGAAATCTCATGAGCGCATTTCTTGAGGCTGCATCGCTTGACCGGGGTCAATGACGGGTGGCGGAGAAGTCGGCAAGTTTTTTGAGGGTCAGGCAGCTAGGAAATGCCGACGCGAACCCGGGAGCAGAATGTGACTGCGGACATTGAAATCAAACACGCAACGACCCGGGATCTGGAGAGTTTGCGGCAGCTTTATCTCGACGCTTTTCCCGACGAAGAGCTGTACCCGCTTGTCACCGATTTGCTCGGCGGCACGGCGCCGGTTCTGTCTCTCTTGGCAGTAACTGGCGGCAAGCCTGTCGGGCATGTCGTCTTTACGCATTGCTCGGTTGAACCGGGTTCCGTCGCCGTCGCTCTCCTCGGGCCGCTTTGCGTGATGCCGGGACACCAGAAAGGCGGTATCGGTTCTGCATTGGTGCATGCCGGTCTCGATCACCTGAAAACAACCATGGCGCAGGTGATGGTTCTTGGCGACCCGAACTATTATGGACGGTTCGGCTTCGAGCCCGACCATCTTGTGGAACCACCCTGTCCGATCCCGGTTGAATGGAAAAGCGCCTGGCAGTCAGTCCGCTTTGATGACGACACTGCCCCCGTGTCCGGACGGCTTGTCGTTCCTGGTGCCTGGAACGATCCGGCACTCTGGTCGGATTGAGCTGCGTGCGCCTCAGCGTCTTTTGCGAATGAACATCTGCTCCGTCACCGACTTGCCCCATTGGTCGCCGACATATTCATCGGCAAGGGTGAAACCGTTCCGCTCGTAGAGCGTTCGGGCTGCATCAAGGCCCTTCAGCGTCCACAAGTGGATTTCTTCGAAGCCCTGTCCGTCGCAATGCTCGAGCGCTTTGAGCAACAGGGTTTTGCCGAGGCCGAGGCCGCGCAGCTTTCCCGACAGGATAAACCAGCGCAGATGCGCAACATTTCCGTTCAGGTCTTCGCCGTCGATGCTGATCGATCCGATGACCTCGCCCTTGTCCAGGATGCTCCAGCTGTTGTTCAGCGGGTTACCGACACGCTGCATGAATTCCGCCATCGCCTGTGAAACGACGCTTTCGAAGGTCGGTCCGTTGCCAATGATCGCGCCATGGGTTCTGGCATGCAGAGCGGCAATGTCGCCAATCATTCCTGTCTGATAGCCTTCCACGACCTCGAAGCGGTGCAATGGTTTGTCTTCCGTACCCTCAGAGCCTGCCAGGGCATCCGCGTAGGCAGTCAGGGCGTCGGCGATCGACCGCGCGGACCCGTTTCTGATGTTCGACAAGGCGGCGCGCGCCTGCCGGTCGCCGAACGTGTCGATCTCGGCGAAGGTTTTCCAGCCCGTGTTGGTCAGGCTCAATCCGAAGACGCGGCCATCCTGCTCGGAGCGCGTCTGGATGATATCTCCGCGGATTTCCAGCGATTTCAGCAGTCTGCTGATTGTCGATTTTTCGAGCTTCAACCGGGTGGCCAGGTCCTTTGCCGTTACACCGGGATGCAGACCGATTTCCATGATCGCGTGAACGCCCGAACCTGAAAGATCCGTGCCTGCGATGGTTTTGTCGAGAAACCCGAACTCCCTGACAAGCTGACGGGAGGCGGAGCGGATGTCCTGGACAAGCGAAGTGGAAACGTCGGTCATGTGATCCCTGAGTTTAGTTGTATAATGCAACTATATGATCGCCGCTTGCCCATGGCAAGTGACCATTGTCAAATTTGAAGGCCGTGATCCACACGCTGCAACGCGCAGGCCGGTTACCCGGCATCCGGCAGGTTTTTGAAGCTGCCGACATAGTCCTTGTGGAAGGCGCCGTATCCATCTGAGGTCACGCCGAGATGTTCCCTGGTGAGCCGGTGCAGATCGGGGAGCTTATGGAACGGAACCGTGGGATAGCTGTGATGCTCCGCGTGGTAAGGCATGTTCCAGGCCAGTCTGCGCACAACCCGGTTTGTATAGGTGGTGCGGCTGTTTTCCAACATGTTCGCAACGAAGGGACAGCGGCCGTGTTCGGCAAGAAGATACAGCCTCAGAAACGGCTGCCCGAGGAGGCAGGGGAGAACCCATGCGAACAGGAGAAGGCTTGAAGCTGTCACAAGCGAAACACCGGCAAGGACGGCATAAAGCATAAGCGACACGACTGCTTCATGCCGGACTTTGCGCCTGCCGCCCTCAGGTACAAACGCATCGTCGCATCGGCCCGATGCGTTCTTGAAGAGTGTCTTCAGTTCGCCCCACCATGTCGGCAGGCCGCTGATATGCACGATGTATTGCCAAAGGGACTTGGGTTTTTCTCCGGCAAGTTCCGGATCGTTCTGCGGGTCCTGCGTGTGCCGGTGATGGGCAAAGTGGAAATACCGGAACCAGTCCGCCGGCACCAGGATGAGGAAACCGCAAATCCGTGCGACGAGATCATTGATCCACGGCGACCGGAAGGCCGTCCTGTGGATTGTCTCGTGAAGCGTTGTGAAAAGAAACATGATCAGGATGCCTTGCGGCACCATCAGCACCGGCCAGCCGGGGACTTCCAGCGCGATCGCGGTCCCCAGAAAGGCAATCAACCCGAAATGAGCCGCGAGCGCCGCAAGGCCCTTCCTGTCCGACGTTGCGGTAAGTTCGGCTCTTTGTGCTGCCGTCAGCCCGGCAAGAAACGATCGATGATCCATCTGGTCTTCCTATCACAGGTAAAGACGCGCAGGGAGCATGAGAACGGGTCACTCACATCGCTCATTTGCGTCAAAAGCAGCGATGATATTTGAAAAGTTGGTTTCGCGTTCGCTGCGCTCTCCCTGAAGCGTCATCCCCGACTTGATCGGGGATCCAATCCACTTTTCGGCAAATTGCGTGTTCCGGACAGGG